CAGGGTGCGTAGGAAAGCTGCCTCCATCCTCAAAGATCCCACCCACCCCCAGCACGAACTGTTCGCCTCCCTACCCTCTGGCCGGAGGTTCAAAAGTGTGAAATGCAGGACCACTAGACTGAAAAACTATTTCTTTCCCTCTGCCATCAGACCCCTAAACAGCTGAGGAGTTTATTACCAGGAAATACGTCATGTACTGACGACCTGTACTGTTTACATTCTCAGTTTGCACATGCATAATTGCACATTGACTGTTGACTGCTGCACATGCTGCTCCCATGCAGCATACATTCTCTTATTATATTCTTATATATTTTTATTATATTGCTGCATTTGCTGCTTAAAGTGCCTTAGATTTAGTGTTACTTATTTATCTACTTTATATTTCACTTGTATTTTGTGGCATTCATGTGGACGACAAAGTAAGAATTTTATTGTACAGGGAAACACGTTTCCTAACTGTGCATATGACAAATAAACACTTTGACCTTGACCTATAGAAAATGACTGGGGGTGCATTTGTGGAGGTGTGTTTTTTCAGGCACAGGTAAGACAATGAAGTATGATCTGATAAGTCCAGTTAGAGAAATGCATTTATGTGTTACAAAGTTTTTCTACAAGCCAAAAAATGACAGTGGTTTGTAATACTCACAGATAGGATTTTGCAACTTTGGAAAGTTATCATTGCAGCAACTGTTTTATCTTTGGTTGAGATGTTTAAGGTAAAGAGAAGAAATGCAGCATTCATGTTACAAAGTAATCCACCATGCGCTTGCATGTGTGTGACTGGCCAGAGCATTGTCTTGCTGGATGAGGTCATGTTGCAACAAAAGATGAACTACATTAAATTGTTTTGATGTACAACACAGCATCATTTTGGATGATCCCCCTACTGCATCAGCACACTTTTCTTGTTAAAGTAAATGTACATTTATTTCACACAAAGTGAACGTTGGTGTGGATGTGACCTGAGGCAGTTTTTTTAAAGAGAGCGAAAATGACTGATGTAGATTCTAAATGGAGTTAAGGCAAGAGGACACTGACCAGGGTTAACTGAGCTCGGAGGAGGGATCTGGGAGCTCTGGAAAACAGAGATGGAGGAAAAGCAATATAAAAATGTTAACATACGAATTAACAAAATGAATCTGAACTATGAGTCCTCTAGTGAGTTCAGTGTCTGTTAGCTAGGCAGGATTTGTACTTACTAGTGGCTTTGCTGTCATCTTTTGGAGAAGGCTAAAAGAAGAACATCAGTCAGAGTCAAAAATGCTCAGTTTAAGGCTTAAAATGAGATCCAACATACACTAACACAGGCTGAGATTCATATACCTGAGCTGGTCGGGGTGGTCTGGGGCTGGTCTGAGGGGAAGCCTTCTTGGATGGTGGTGGGACTGTCGGGGTCAGGATGGAAGGTGGTGGCATGTTTTCGCCACTCCTGATCCCTCCATCAGGCATCTCCTGCTTAGCCTGAGAATACAGGTCCAGGATCTGGTGACAGATATCTTTGAGATGGAAAAGAGCAGGAGAGAAAGGGAGAAGCCTATAGTGAACAACTAAAAGATTACAGTAACTTTTTATCATACATTTATACTACAATACATAGCATGCGAGCATTCCCATTACCTTCCAGCACCTCCACTGGTACATCATGAACAAACTGCTCCCACCAGCGCCGGGGCGACTGCTTGCAGGTCCAGTCCTGGATGTCAAACTTACAGAGACGTCCAGCCAGGTACATGACAGCCACCGCTATGATCTGTGGCTCCCACTGCAGGGCCACCATGGTACAAAGGCTTAGGATGACCATAATTGAGAGTGTTATTATTATTTCCACATCTGTCAATCTCCCAACATGGGGCATATTTTACATTGCACAGCCTTAGTAGAAGACATGCAGACACTAAAATGACTGATTTACTCTCCAGGTGTTGCTACTGGGTCCTGATAACCTGTTACATGTAAAGTAATGTAATATTTTTATGTTTTAGTAGAGAGCTTTTCCATCCCCATAAGGTCTAAATATTGTTCAAATATGATGTAAAATGTGATGCTTTTCCACAAGGTAAAGAGAAGATAAGAAACTGAATATGGGCACAGAATGTTCTTACTGGGGCCAACCTTAAAATTCCTATTCCAGAGAAAAATACTGGTTTCTGAATTCACCTGTCATTCACAAAGGTCCAAGCCATCTGAACAAGCTTCTGCACCTTGTTCCTGTCACCTGAAATACAGTGATGGCCATCAGCTACACATTCCTTAGTCCAGTGGTGGTTTTGTGAATGGACTACATTGTTTTGATGCTAACAATCCTGACACAGATTTATGCAAATTACAGTAATTAATGTTGGCACATTAGAGTCAGGGTCTCGTGTAAATTTATTTGCTCACTATTTAATCTGTATCAAATTTCTCATTATTGAAATTTTGCCAAATACAAAAACAGACAGATGGACCTTTGAGTTGCTTTGCATAGTGCAGCAGAAACTGGTAGGGGTGTTCCACCTGCAGGTCAAACTTGATGGTCTGCAGCAAAATGCGCTCCAACACCATAACCTCTTCCTGTAAGGAAAAAGATTCTTCCATGAGTAAATGCTAACAGACACAGTTTTGTTTACCTGTCCAAATTCTGTTAAAGTCGAAATAAAATGTATCTGTAGTATAATGACATAAAATTCATATGTACTGTAAATGTGTCCCAAATCATCACAGTGCTACATTTATTCTGAGTATGTATTGAATTTCTTTGTCTTCTCTGTGAGAGAATTTCCAGTACCTCATGGTACAGCTACCACAAGGCAAAAATGGTATCATGCAGACTAGATGGCTTAGTAATACAGTAATAACACTGCTGATGTCATTCCAATTGAGCATAGTTTGGCTAGTATATTTTCAACAATATACTTGTCCTCTTATGTCATTTGTGCTTACTGTTTTTTGGTATTTATCACATACTGTATAGCTTACAGGCTTAAATTACCCAGGTGCTCCAGAATAATTTTCCCAGGCCCATAGACAGTTACATTAAAGGAATAGTTCAGGATTTTTCAAGTTGGTGTCAAAACAATATTGATGTGTCCCCCTGTACATGAGAATAGGTCGTAGTCATTGTCATTTCTTCCACTGTTCACACTGACCCTGAATGTTTCCACCTGGAACATCACTACACTGCAAATGAGGGACAAGCTACAAGCTCTTGTTCTGTAAAGACATGTACCCCAAAGTTCATCTGAGGCTCAAATGCACCTTCAGCTGTCCCATTAAGCTAATTTGAGTTGGTACATTTCAAAGTTAAAGCCTATTTAGAACAAATCTCCCTCTTTCATGTCCCTGGACAATACCTTGCCGTGCTGTCGCAGAAGGATATGTTTAGTAGTCATATCTAAGTTTTAGCTGCTGTTTACTACTCAAGTTGTACTCAGATATATCATGGAAATGGGTTCACACCTTGCAGGTTGGACAGCTGGAGTATTTTTGCAGTTTGTGATTTGTGACACCAGTAAAACCTGCTCCTGTGTTTTGTGCATAGGTTACCTCTCTGAGTCTCTCCTGTGTTTCTCCTGTCTATTCCTGCCTCCTCTGCTCTGCACATGAAGGAGAACATGGGTTGTGTCTGCATTTGTCTGATGTGTTTTGAAAGAAACAAATAATGGGGAAAAGCATCCCAGAGATTTCACCTGAGAGATCTTGAAACTGTCAAAATGGATATAATTATAGCATTTGCAAACCTGAGAGAGTTATGTTTTTAAAAGTTACAGTCTATTTAAGACAAATTTCCCTGGACAGTACCTTGCTGAGCTGCAGCGGAGGGATACATTCTAGTAGTCGTGTGTAGCTTTGTTGTTGTTAACAAGTGTTTATGATCGAGTTGTGCTCACAGTTCACGTGGAAACATGTTCATACCTTGCAGATATGACAGCTGGAGTATTTTTGCTGTTTATGATGATGTGACACCAGTAAAACCTGCTCCTGCTTTTGTGAACACGGCTGGTGTCTGCACTCATCTGGTGTGTTTTGAGAGAAACAAGCGATGGCCTAAAGGATTCCTCAGATTTCACCTGAGAGATCCTAAAGGGACCATGTACCCCTTTTCAAACAAGACTGTTCTTAAATGCTGCTACTGTAATGTATCCCTCCGCTGCAGCTCAGCAAGGTACTGTGCAGGGAAATAAAAGAGGGAAATTTGTTTTAAATAGACTTTAACTTTAAAATATACCAACTCAAATTAGCTAAGCTAGCTAGGACAGCTGAAGCTACATTTGAGCCTCAGACAAACTTTTGAAGTACATGTTTTCACAGAACAAGAGTGTAGTTTGTCCCTAATTTTTTGCAATGACGTTCTGGGTGGAAACATTCAGGATCAGTGTGGAGACTAGTAGAAGTGACAGTGACCAAGACCTATTTTTGCAATGCACAGGGGATGCATCAATATTGTTTTATCACTAACTTGAAAAATCCTGAACTATTATACCTTTAAAACACTCTTGATGCTTGGACATGTGCTGATATAGAGGATGCAGGTATGAGGAAGGTGTGCAGAATTTCACCCATAACCCCTCTAAATCTTTAAATCAAAAAAAAGAATAAACTAAATGCTGAGTTTCTGCATTGTTATGGAGCTTTTCTGAGCCTCTGTCCCCCCGTTTGAGTTTCCATCACTGTAGCATTTTCAACAAGAAATAACTGGTCACATCCCAGTGAAAGACTTTCTTGTTACAGACCTTGGGATCATCTCCAAACTGTGCAAACTGGATGTCATTGAGCAGGCTGCGAGCTGTCTTGATGATGTCTTTGCACTTCTTTGGAGTTTCCTCTACTTTGCCTGCAAGGAAAAGGCAGCATCCTCCTGTCACCTGCAGGTTAGGAACAGATATATTTGCTCAAAATGTAGAGTAAATTTCATTACTGTAGCCCATTTAAGATACTTATTAATATTGCTAAGGAAGGTTTAAAGATATGAGGTAGAGTTGGTGTTGGACTAGACTGACTGGACTGTTTTTATGTAGGAATGGAGAAGCCTTTAAGGCATGCATAAGTTGCTACTGCAGCAGTTGATGAGTCCAGTTCTGCACATCTTGTGCATCCAACATCAGGTAATTCAGAAGTATTCTTAATGCTGCAAAATGTTCTCTATGAACTGATGAACTTTTAACAAAGGAACACTTTTTTCACAGGTCACTGATCTGTCTAGTTTTCATAATGTATGTATTTGATTTAATCATTAATAGACCTATTAAATAGGAGAAAATCAATCTCAAAAGCTGGTGCAAAATGTTGCACATTTTCAGGAGAAAAACACATCATCCAACTGAAAAATGTTGCCGTTGCTGCCCAGTTCAAAACATTTTCCCGCTGAAGGAGCATAAAGACATAAAATCAGTATTTTCATACAGCTGCATTGCCATTACAAGCGAGCACAACAGGTTGCTTCAAATGCAGTAGCATAATTGCTTGTGCTGATTAATGGTGATCACCAACTAATAAAAAAACAATCAGCATTTGTGTCTTCAGTTGCTGATGGTCAGTCTGATCTCCAATCTGCACAAACACAGACAGAGGGAAACCCTGGCCCCAAAATCACACCAATCAAAAAATGACTAAATCGGACTGAACTGCACTGTAAACAGATGGGACATGGACTGTTATGTGGTCCCAAAACATCATATATTCACAAAGGATTTTTGAAGAACTCATCAAACCATGTCAGACTCACTGAATTTAACTTCCAGAGACTAATGTAGATATACTGATGTAGAAGAAAAACATACTTACATATCTGGGGAACTGTTTGAAGGAGTGGAACATGTAAAAGCGGTGGAAGTAAACAATCCCAGTTGCTAGTGTGTCATAGTGCCTGAAGCCACAGAGGTTAAGAAGACTGACAGCACAGTTTTAACAGACAGTGTTTATGAAATCATTCTCAGGGATGACTGGTTGTCTTACAGTCTATAACTCCCCAGCACACGGTCATATGCTAGTCAAGCTGTAATCATTGTTACAACATACATGCACCACAGCTCTTCAGTCAAAACTCTTGCTATCTGTCATACAGGTAATATATTTAAGATTTTCCCTGTAGGTCAGTGTTGAATTAGCCATTGTGTTTCCCACACAAGGATACAGTCCGAGTCGCGTACCCACGTCAAAGATAAACCGAGCCCCCTCTCTGCGGTACCGGGCCTCCGTAGCAGGATCCAGTCCCTCTGACTGCGAAGGAGTGTAGGCCAAGTCGTTCTTGTCCCAGTACCAGCATGGTTTGCTGTTGTCCAGGGTGGCGGGATCCTTCCTGTCCCAGTATAAGAGGGGTCTGATGAGGTCCAGAGTGGACAGGTCCTTGTCCCACCAACAGCAGGACCTAAGGATGGAGATGTACGTTCCTGATGCAACGTTACTGTGGTAAAGGAAACAGCATTTGCTAACCTGCTAACAACTGTTCAATCCGGCCATGAGCAACGGATGCTACTAGCTACTGTTATATCTACTGTAACGTTACAGCAATGGAACTGACAAAAATAACGACTCAAAACCGACTCAATTTGTTCAGGCCACCTTTGGTTACTTTTACCCAGTAATGATAGACACGAACACATGCCAAACATCTAAGGGAGAAATTCCACTGATAAATAAAAAGTTAAATATCCTGACTTTGTTGTAATAACAGATGTATACTCGGATTTCACTGAAACGAGCCCCTCCATCCAAACAAAGAGCACAAGAATACCACAGACCCATTTTCATGACTGGCATATCTTTCAACCAATCATTGTAGCTCAAACATTGCCATCTATGGTTTCTTTAAACTGTCTAAAAGTAAGCGTCCAATCCGAAGGTATGATTGGGGGGGTTGTTATATTTACATGAACAGCTTTTTTTTTTTGCCAATCTCTGCCATGATCTCGCAGGCGTGCTGCCCAACAGCCAATTAAAATACCAAAATCCGATGTTGTTTTTGTGGGTGTATCTCAAAGTTACACCAATCGCATGTCAGGACTCAATCAAGTTTAGTTTCAGTGCAGAAGCAGAGGAACTACTGCTGTCACTGGAAAAGGTAACTGGTATGAGTGAACCGGAGAAAAATGTCTATGTTTAGGTTTAGTAAAGTTCTGAGTCACTGTTATTTTGCATGAATGTGGTGTGGTACACAGGGTGTAATTTAACTGGCATACCTAGCTAACCAGCCAATCCAGTAGAATAGCATCTTCTAAAATTCAGGCTGGACCTATATCATTAGCTGCTAAAAGCTAGCCTGCTAACGTTAGTCAGTGCAGCCAGTGTAAGATGAATGAGCTCTGTATCCTGCCCAACTTCACCTACAGCTACGCTTGGATGGGCGTCAGTCCTCGATGTAGGGAGCTAACGTTAGCTGGTGGCCTAGTGTGAGAGGCAAAAAATAACCTGAGGGGCTAAGTGCTTCTGGGTTGCCAGCTTGTAGTTGGCTGGAGGAAAACGTGCTAATCTCTTACCGTACGTTTAAAGTGAAGCCCTGACATTACCTTTGAGTAGATGTAAAGGAAGAGTTCGGTTTGCTGACTTGTAGCTACATGTAAGATTTGCCAGAGAGGAGCCCGAGGTGGCACTAGAGACGTATCCGTGACAAACCATGCTGCTAACGGTGTCATTAGCCTCTCGCTGGGTAATGCATTCTCATCTTGCAAAAGCTTTATTAAAGCGCATTCACGTTATTCTTTCCTGCAGGGTTAGCTTGCTAAGTTAATCTGAATTGTGTTCAGTTCGGCCTGTACAGGAGCACTCTTTAGTTTGTTGAACTTAAGTCAGCGAAACCTGCGTTTTTAAGAAATAATGTTAACTGCATTGTATCTGTCTCACTGATTTTACGGGGCGCAGACCAGTAGAGTTGGCTCTGCATCCCATCAGTAGTTCTCATCAAAATCCTACAATGTATTCAACAATGTGTTACTGGTGATTTCCTGAAGGTTCTGTCATTTGACACCCCAGCAAAACAGTGCACATGTGATTTCATCACACAGAATATGCTCCTGACTAAATTGCTATGCAATTTTAGTGAGATTTCACGCTAACTTTCAACAGAGACAATACATATTTTGCACAAAGAGATGTTAAAACTGCATTGATAAATATTTTCAAGCAGTTAATGGCCAGATATTTCCATCAGGAGGTTCTAGAGGACAAAACTTGTGCTATTAGGAGTGACTGTTGAGCTTAGCTTTGTCAGATGGACATAGACTTCACTCCAAATAAATGTGGAAAAATGATTTTCTTGCTAACCTGTTCACTATAACGACTTCATACAAAATTTAAGTTATTCCTAAGTGGCCAAAAACACACTCACTAATGCAGCTTCAAGGTTTGTAGTGCAGTCATTTATGTACAGCAGTAGCCCTAAAAGCAGGTCCTGTAGAGGGATAGAAGTGCATTGACTTTGTCCACTGAGGACTGGGAGTCATGGTTCAAACCACTGTCTGTGTTAGAACAAGCAGGTTTATCAGGGCAGTGGCTTCCTGAAGCTCTATTTGTCATGTAAGTGAGTGGATTTGGATCTTAGTGCCAGCTATTACTGAATGTCACAGAGCATCTGTGTGGTGTGTGAGGCACACACAAGCTGTTTAGGATTTTATTCAATAAAAGATCCCAACTGCCAAAAATGGCCTCAGCTACTTCCTCTGCCTTGGTAAACTGTTTGGATTGTGAAATGGTTTGTGTGTCTCTGTTTATATAAGTGAGGGAGAGCCAGTGGGGTGCGCAGCTGCACAGGGAGCAGAGATTCTGCCTGTAGCAAATTGAATTGCTCCGTGTAAAGTTAACTTGATTTATTTAAAAGTATCATTTTTCTGGCGTGAAGGCCATTGGCCTAACACTGTACCTTCCTTGTCATAATGAAATGTAAGGCTGGCACCTAAAGTGCTAAAATAAATAAGACTTTTCATTGTGATACTCAGAATCAGCTTTATTGGCCAGGTGTGATGGACACACAAGGAATTTGACTCAGGTACATTGGCTCTCAATGTGCAAGACAGTAAACCAGCATAAGGCTGTGCAATATAACAAAATAGCAGTATTAACATCAACAAACAGTGCAAACAATGCAGAAAAAGCAGTATGAACAGACAGTAAACAATGCAGACAGCAAGGGAATGTTCATTGAAATGAGATAAATAGGGATAAAAACAGAGTACTTAAGAACTAGAGACCTCTATGACTCTGTTTAATCTGTACAATGTATATACACTGCTCAAAAAAATAAAGGGAACACTTAAACAACACAATGTAACTCCTAGTCAGTCACACTTCTGTGAAATCAAACTGTCCACTTAGGTAGCAACACTGACTGACAATCAATTCCACATGCTGTTGTGCAAATGGAATAGACAACAGGTGGAAAGCATAGGCAGGTAGCAAGACATCCCCAATAAAGGAGTGGTTCTGCAGGTGGTGACCACAGACCACTTCTCAGTTCCTATGCTTTCTGGCTGATGGTTTGGTCACTTTTGAATGCTGGCGGTGCTTTCACTCTAGTGGTAGCATGAGACGGAGTCTACAACCCACACAAGTGGCTCAGGTAGTGCAGCTCATCCAGGATGGCACATCAATGCGAGCTGTGGCAAGAAGGTTTGCTGTGTCTGTCAGTGTAGTGTCCAGAGCATAGAGGCGCTACCAGGAGACAGGCCAGTACATCAGGAGATGTGGAGGAGGC